AGTCAAAGGAAGAGGAGCATATTATTTCTGATGTCCACTATGAACAAAATGAATCTGGTGTTTCCGATATGGATAGGGTGAAAGGAACTCTTTTTCGTGCTGATTTTATTGTTGTAAGAAGTTGCATGGAGATTGAAGGTAAGTCTCTAGAATCGATTGAAAATCAATCCAAGAAAAAAGTGATTCCAGTTGGATTATTGCCACCTTCACTAGAATTCAGTGAAGAGAAAAAGGATAAAAATTGGGATACAATCCTTAAGTGGTTGGATAAACAGGAAAAACAGTCAGTGGTTTATGTTGCATTTGGAACTGAAGTGATATTAAGTGATGAAGAACTTAGTGAGATAGCTAAAGGATTGGAATTATCTAGTTTTCCTTTTCTTTGGATTTTGAAGAACCATGATAAACATGATTGGTTTGTTGAGAATGATTCAAATAAGAATGGATTGATTTGGAATAATTGGGCACCACAGTTGAGAATCTTATCACATGAGTCAATTGGAGGATTCTTGACACATTGCGGTTGGAGTTCAGTGATTGAGAGTCTTCAAGTTGGGTGTCCACTTATTATGTTACCTTTCCATAATGAACAAGGTTTAGTTGCTAGACTTATGGAAGAAAAGATGGTGGGGGTAAAGGTAGAGAGAAATGATGAGAAATTCAATAGAGATGCAGTGGCTAAGGCATTGAGATCGGTGATGATAGAGGAGGAAGGAAAGAGTTATAGAAGTAAAGCTGAAGAGATGAGCAAAATAGTTGGAAACAAGGAGCTGCACCAAAAATATTTAGATGAATTTGTTGATTATGTGGAATTGCAAGCCTCGAAGCATTAATGCTTAAGGTATTATGATTTCATCTTGTTTTTATCCGTTGAGTTTTGAATGTGTAATTGTAAGTGATGGTATGTTGTCAAATAATATTAAATTGTACTTTTTGAAGGTGTAACTGGTTATCAGATTTTGTGTAACCGATTACCACTGTAAGTGAATTAATTAGCTACAAATGTAATTGGTTACCAATTTTGGCGTAACCGGTTAAAGGTCCGTATTTTTTAGTTTTCTGCTTCTGTACTTGATTATATTGTATCAAACTTATGTTGTAACCTCTATATAAGAGTGATGAGTGCACTCTCACTCAAGCTAATGATAATTCATGCATTCTCTTCCTTAAATCTCTCTCTCTCTCTCTCTCTCTCTCTCTCTCTCTCTCTCTCTCTCTCTCTCTCTCTCTCCACTTTCAAAATTTCTCCCAACTAAGTTTCATCAATCTTGTGGTTGCTTGTTCTAATATTTGGCATCATAGAGCCTGGTTCAGATCCACAAACATCTTATGTGCAACATGAATTCAGTCTCCAATGAAAGAATCCCTGCAAATTTACCCATCTGTGATGCGAAGAACTATGAAAAATGGTGCAAGCAATTGAAGGTGTTGTTAGGCTACCAAGATGTTCTTGAGATGATCAAGAATGATGTTACTCTTCTCCAAGATGAAGCAACAGAGGCGCATCAAACATTGCATAAGGAAGAAAAGAAGAAAGATTTCAAGTGTTGTTCTTGATTCATCAATGTGTTGATGGCGACAATTTCGAGAAAGTTGGGGATTGCGAATCATCGAAGCAAGGATGGGAGAACATAGAGAAAGATTATGCAGGGGCTGACAAGGTGAAGGTGGTGAGGTTACAAACTCACAAATGGAAGCTTGAATTAATTCAAATGGAAGAGAATGAGATAATCAACGATTTTGTAACGAGAATCACTCGGTTGGTGAACCAAGTAAAGGCATGCAGAGAAACCATTACAGGGCAGTATGTTTTGTCTATAATATGATGTTCGTTACCACCAAGATTCGACAATAGTTGTGGCGATTGAGGACTCGAAGGATCTTGTGACGATGAGCAAAGAGGAGTTGCAAAGCACTATTGAGGCTCTTGAGCAAAGAATGGAAGAGAGGAACAACGATAAGGCAAAGACAGAGATCGCTTTGTAAGCTCGGTTGAATGAGAAAGAAAAGAGATCTAAAGTTAAATGGCCCGCGAAGAACAAAGGAAATTTTCAGAATTTTAGTGGAAAACAGTCCCAAAATTCAAAGAATTCGACATGTCAAATGGGTGAGAGCAGCTACAATAAAATGGTGGTCAAGGCAACTATAGAGGAGAAAGAAGAAGATTTATCAAGAGGAAGGAGCAATGCTACAAGTGTTAACGGTTCTGTCATTATGCAAAGAATGCAATACGAACTTGAAGAAATCTCAAGGGGATAAAGTCAAGGTTGTAAGACAAGAGTTTGATAAAGATAATACACTTTTGGTCATGATCATGAAAGCGAAAAGCAGTTGTAAACAAGTGTGGGACAGCAGCTGCAACAGCTCAAAGAATATAGAAAATTAGGCTACAGGCAGTTAAATGATATGGTTGACTGGTTGCGCGAATATGAAGACGCCATGATGAGTTTGAAAGTAATTCAATGCAATGAGGAGTGGTATTTGGACTCGGATTGTTCAACTCATATGATTTAAAGAAAGGATTAGTTTGTCAAAATCAATCGTGCCCTGAAGAACAAAGTAAAGTTCGTAGATGACACCACTTTAATAGTCGACGAGATCGTTGATGTTTTGATCATGAGGAGGGTTGGTGGACATTCCTTGATCAAAGTAGTCTTGTATATTCCAGGAATCAAGTGTAATCTTCTATGTATTGGACAATTACTTAAGAAGGATTACAAGATTCATATGGAAAATAAAGGGTTATGCGTTATGGATGCAAATTGAAGTTTTGTATTTAAAGCGCCTATGTTTACCAATAGAACTTTCAAGGTTAAGTTGAAGGTTATGGAACATATATGTCTTGCTACTGCAACAATTCGTAAAGAGTGGGTGTGGCACTATCATCATGGGTATCTCAATTCTAGAGATCTCAAGGACTTGCAAAAGAACGGTATGGTAACGGGGCTGCCAACGATCAATACGCCAACTGAAATTTATGAAGAATGTGTGTAAGCAAAACAACATAAATAAAAATTCAGCAATGATGCAGACCGGAGAACCAAGAATCACCTTGAGGTGGTGTATTCGGATGTGTGTGGGCCTATGCAAGTAGGTTCCATTCGTGGTAATAGGTACTTTGTCACTTTTATTGATGATCATAGTAGAAAGTTATAGACATACGCTATTAAGAGAAAGGATGAGGTGTTTGATGTGTTCAAGAAGTTTAAGTCCATGATGGAGAGGCAAAGTGGTCACAAGCTGAAAGTGCTCAAAACGGATGATGGAGGCAAATATGTCTCAAATGAATTTGGGAGATTTTATGCGTCAAGAAGGGATTATACATGAGATATTAACACCCTATACAACACAGCAAAACGGTGTATCCGAATGGAAAAATCGATTGATAATGAGCATGGTGAGAAGCATGTTGAAGGGGAAGAACTTGTCGGAGGAGCTATAGGGAGAAGCGATATCTACAGTTGCCTATTTGTTGAATAAATTCCCTGTAAAGAAGTTGGACAATGTAACACCGAAGGAAGCATGGTCGAGGTTTAAGAAAAATCTGAACTATTTGAGAGTCTTTGGATCCATTGCATATCAACATATTATGGGTCAACTTAGAAAGTAATTGGATGATAAGGGTGAGGTGATGATTATTGTTGGATATCACTATACTGGTGCTTACAAACTCTTTGATGCTGCAAACAAGAGGATCATGATCAGTCGAGATGTGATAATCGATGAAATAAAGCAGCTTAAATGGGGCATAATCGGTTTTGAGTAGAGCATAATCGGTTACATATTCGATTTTTTGGATTCTGAGGTTGCAGAAAGCTTAGAACATCATGTCGTCGAAGCCTGCGATGAAAGGAAATGTTAGGAGGTCAACTAGGCAAAGGGGTTTGCCTCAGAGACTCCAAGATTGTGAGTTGTTTCATGATAATGAGGTCAATAACGATGGTGATTTCGTCCACTTTGCACTTATGGACGAATCCGAACCTGTAAATACAGAAGAGGATTTAAGTGATCCAAAGTGGATTTGTACTATGAAAGAGGAGCTGGAATCCATAAAAAAACAGTACTTGGGAACAAGTTTATCTACCGAAAGGAAAGAAGCCGATTGGTGTGAAGTGGATCTTCAAAGTGAAGGCAAATCCAAGGGTGATATAATCAAGCATAAGGATAAATTTGTAGCTAAGGGATTTTTCAAAGAAAAGGCATAAACATTGAAGAGGTTTTCGCACTGGTTTCTCGTATTAAAACCATTAAGCTTGTTGTTGATATTGAAAATAACCACAATTGGCTTATCTGCCAAATGAATGTCAAATATGTGTTTTTTAATGAACCACTTGAAGAGGGGTGAATGTAGGATAGCCTCATGGTTTTGAGGTGTAACCGGTTACCATATTTGGTTTAACCAGTTACCACTGTAAGTGAATTAATTGTTGAATTAATTAGCTATAGGTGTAACTGATTACCCATTTGGCATAACCGGTTAGAAGTCTGTATTTTT